TTCCAATCATGCGAATTTCGACTTCACCGAACCCAGGGACTGAATGCGATTCTCGTTTAAGACCCTTCGACCTGGAGCCGGCGGCTTGAGCCATCAAGTGCTGCATCCCTCATCAGTTTGTTATCAACATTTGGTTTTAAGGAAAAAAAAATTGAGTTAGACATAGCTTTTTCTCTGCAATTCTTCTATGAGCCAAAAACGCCCTCAAAAGCCACCCTGGTTCTGAATGGGCCGTCTTAAAAAGAATTTGGTCATTGACAACCGCTTATTTAATGGGGCCGCGTAAACGCCACATTAGATCTACAAAACCAGGACAAAACGATTCCCCCCCCCCATAGTCATCTAGAAACTCACACAATTCTCTTTGAACACAACAAAATAACAGCTGAACAGCACAACCTAGGGTCAGCGAACTTTGAGAACAACTTCGTTTCAGTACGAAAAGGAATGCGAAACCGTGGACTGCGAAGCCGAATGGTTCGAAGGAGAATGGGAACCATGTTCCCAAACTTGCGGCGACAAGGGCGTGCAGTATCGCGTAGTGTATTGCCATCAGGTACGTGTTCTTGCACAAACGTTGAAAGGATCAGCCTCTGATGATTGCCTTCATATTTCTTCCAATGATGACCACCTTTCTCCAATGGATTTTCTCGAATACAGGTCTTTGCCAATGGTCGACGTATCACTGTCGAAGACGGCAACTGTACTGAAGAGCGGCCTGCTGTGCAGCAAGAGTGCAACAGGTATGCGGAAATTGGTTTGTAGTAAGTTCTGGTAGACTTGTGGTAGGTCAAACTCCCTGTATCCAGGGCAGTCGACCCTCCTCGCTCCAGTCGCTGTTGTGGGTTCTCAGAGAGGGGGTTGCATGAGTCTCAGAAAAAAAATGCTTTGGTTGTTGACTTTCTCGTTTTTCGTGTTCAAATGCGCTATAGTCCCCTCATTCCTGCCTGTTTTTCAGGAAGAGAGAATTTTTAAAGAAACTGTGAAATAATAGTAGGAAGTTAAGAGAATCTACGAAGATGGTGGGATGGATGGGGATGGAGAATGGAAGGGTTCGTACCAGAGGAGGAAATTCTGGAGTTCTGGAGAGAGAGAGAGAGAGAGAGAGAGGATCATGTTTCGCGAACTTTGCCTTCAACGGCGGGACGTGCCTTTCCTGTACCTTCACAAAGCCTCAGTCTTTGTGACAGCACAGATGAGTACCCGTAATAGACAGGACCTGTACCTTCCTCATTGGCGCGCCCATAATCTTTACCGTCTCGGGTGGAGCTACAAAAGTGCAGGGAAGAGGAAGGATGTACCATTCAGATTCTACCACAAAAGTAATTGGTAGTGCCAAGGAAAATTGAAAGAAATGGATGAATTCTGAATTGGAAGTATTAAAATTCCCAAATCCTTTTCAGATTCGCCTGCCCTGAATGGCAAGCAGGACCATGGTCAGCTTGCTCTGAGAAATGCGGTGATGCATTCCAATACCGCTCGGTCACGTGTCGATCAGAAAAGGAAGGCGAAGAGGGCAAACTACTCCCGGCTGACGTAAGTAATACCCTACAATTACACCTAAATGGTATAACCAGTTTAGTGGTAACTTGCATTCATTCGTGCACCTCACGATGGTCTTCCGAAGCTTCCCACCCCTCTCAAAAGAACAGATGAGGCTAAACATTAGGTTTCTTTCGGACTATGTGTACATAAAACTCTTGAACATTTGTTCTCGGTCCAGCTGTAGCAGTCATAGATCCGTGTTCTCACCCCCCCCCCTCTTTTTCTGAGAAATATGTAGAGATGCGTATTGAATACCTGCTGCTTGGTGACACCGCGCTGCTGAAGAATTGATAAGTTATCATCAGAGCCACGAATCCAGTAGCGGAACAATCGAACTGTATCAGATCTTTCCTCGTAATCTGGGTCTTCCCAATTCCCAGCTGGGAGGAGTTGAATGTGTCAATTGAGCCAATTCGTACTTGTTCCTCGAAAAGTTTCTCCGAATCTCCGAAAGCGGGGCACCAGACAAGGCCTGAGTCTCACAGGAAGAAACAGAATTCGTTAGGCTGCTCAGTCAGGAGCGTCCTAGCGTTGGGAAATTTCTGCGAAATCTGCCAAACAAGCCTCCCCCCTACCCCAGCCAAAGTCGAGGCAAATATTAGGTTGTCCGGAAAGTTCTTAGCGTTTTGTGCACCTAATCTTTGTACATTCACTGCTGATTAAAAACTCATTCTGCCTTGCTTCTCAGTAGCACATCCTGTAGAGAATTTCTTGCGCTATCTGATGGTATAATTGCCGTTTCACCATTGCTTGATAAACCCTCTTTTTTCAAGATTTTTTCAAGCATGTGAAAAGAGCACTTCGGACGATTTTTTTCTTCGGCTATAAATTGGGGCAATCCGCAATCGAAACAGCTCAACAAATTAACCAGGTGTGGAGGCCCAATAGTGCTAGAGAAAGCACTGTGCGGCAATGGCTCAACAAATGTCGTTCTGGAGATTTCAGCCTTGAAGGTGAACCTCATAGCGGTCGACCTAAAGCAATTCTGACGAGGATTTTGAGGGGATTTCGGAGGCTGATCTATCCCAAACAGTTCGAGAGATAGCAGAAGAGCTAGGCGTTGGCAAATCCACTGTTGCAGATGGTCTGGAACGCATTGGGAAGGTGAAAAAACTCGACAATTGGGTGCCCCACAATCGGAGTGACCGGCAGGAATCGGCACGTCTCGAGGTTCCTTCTTCACTGCTTTTGCGCAAAAGAATTGACCCGTTTTTGAACGGATTTGTCACCTGTGATGAAAAATGGATCATGTATGATAACAGGAGACGTTCCGGACAGTGGTTGGATTTGGAGGAACCACCGAGGTAATTTTCAAAGCCGAACCCTCGCGAAAAAAAAATTCTGGTCAGGTTTGGTGGTCATCGGCTGTTGTAATCCACTATAACTTTTCATCACCAGGCCAAACCATCACAGCAGAACCCTACTGTGAACAAACCGACCAAATGTACCGAAAATATTGTCAGCTGCAGCCAACACTTATCAAAAGAAAGGGTCCGATTCTTTTGCATGACAACGCCCGCCCACACGTTTCACAAATCACTATCCATAAATTGAACGAATTGGGGTTGAAGTTCTCTACCATATTCTCCAGACCTTTCACCAACCGACTGTCACCTTTTCAGACATTTTCAGAACTTCCTTGCTGAAAAATACTTCATCAATTAGGACCAGGCAAAAAAGACCTTCGCAGATTTCGTGGATTCTCGACCACCCAGTTTTTTCTTTGATGGGATTTCTCGACTGCTGCCACATTGGCAAAAGTGTGCTGATTCGAATGGTGCTTATTTGGATTAAATCCGATGAGTGTTAAGAAAGTTATGATCGTTTAAAGTTAAACACCCAAAACGCTAAGAACTTTCCGGACAACCTAATAATGCAGTCTGCTTCGCTGAGCTATCCCCAACGCACGGTGTGCCCTGTGTCCAGACAACACCTGAGCCTTCACATATTCGTAGTGTGCTAGTTATATCTATCTACAGCCTTTTTTCGTTGCTGACACTAAGCCATGTCAAAGAGGCTAGGTGGGCGCGGCGTCAGCCAGTCCGCCAATTGATGAAGCAGGTCAAGCGATGGTTACAGCCTTTATGGCAATCTTATGAACGGTGGAGGTGGTGCAGTGGCAAGTGACTCGCTTACCAGGCGTACGGTCCGGAGTTCAAGTCCCTGTCGTCTCACGCCCAGGCCCACCAAGCCTTCTTTCCTCCGGGGACGGTAAATTGGTACCAGATTCGTCTGGGAGGATAAACACTGACTTGTACATCGGCTGGCCCCGCAAGTCATTGTATAGGCCACATCGCATTCAATAAATTCTGAATGGAAGTAGAATGCGTGCCTCATTCCTAAGAGGGATTGATTGACGGTGATCCTTTATCCTTTTCTGGCCATCTCATGAAGGAATCGTTGTCTGCGGACACCGTCCGTGCGCTGAAAGTCCCGAAGCATCTTGGCCTTTCACCAGCCCCAGCCCTAAAAGGCTACTTATTGAGTTTTGCCAGGGGTACTCTGATTGTTAGAACAGAGTTGCAGAAATTGGGAGTCTTATAAACGCGAAGGCGAGGATGTGTTTTGTTTGTTTTCTTCGTGGCTTTTGGAAGACAAGAAGAACGTGCTATTTAAGGCATGCGGTTCGGAGAACATTTTGGAATCTGAACGACCCTGCAATCTTGGACCGTGTACCGGCCTCAAGTTCTTCACATCAGACTGGAAATTGGTTAGTTGACGAGTATTGTTTTGATGTTCTTAGCTGTACATGGTAAACAACTCAATTTCAGCTTAATGGATGAAAAATCATGTTTCAGTGCTCGAAATGCAATGATACCGAAGAGACCCGTGAGGTGACTTGCAAAGACACTCAAGGACGAGCTTATCCTCTGGAGAAATGTTTGACAGATGATGAGAAAGAGATTCCTCCAGATACCAGGTACGCACACAAATTCCTCATTTTTTCGGCGCTAGCATTTTGGTCTACCCGTCGGCAGTGGGTCAGGGCAGCATCGGAGTCGCAGCACCACGACAAGTATGAGAACACCATTTCATATACGTCTGCGACCTCTCAAAGAAATAGTGTCAACCTAGTGATACCCCAAGGATCACTTGTTCCCATGGATGATGAGTAAAACATGAGCTTGACGCTGACAACCTGTCGTGACAGCAACTGCGCGGCGAGTGCGGCCAGGTTTC